TGAAATCAAAACGTGGTCCAAAGGGAGAGTAATCTTAGTAACTTCCTCTACGAAGGTGTAAGAGTCTTGTATGTTGAGAGAAGTCCAGTTGCTGAAGGCAACAGAGAGAATGTCCGACAAATACTTGGACAAGGCATACATGGGTGAGCCAACAAAGGAGATGATTGGTCTGAGAGGATAAACTTCTTTGTGCACCTTAGGAAGGCTGTAAAGCTTCGGGGTAACCCCGTTATGGCAAGTTAAAGCTTCTACCGTTCTAGTGTCGATACACTGCAGCTCTTTCAACTTCTGCATGAATTTATTATTTTTAATTTGTGTAGAGGTTGTAGGATCCCTAGGGAGCTTCTTATAAGTAGCTTCATCAGAGAGAAGAACCATGGCTTTTTGAAGGTAGATGGATTTGGTAATGGCAACTGTGCATTGACTCTTATCAGCAGGTGTGATGATGAGTAAAAACCTGGAAGTCTCTCTTTCCATATTCAATATAAATTTATCTGTTTGGGAGAAGGAAGTAGCACCTCCAACGAAGTTGGTAAGAATATTCGTGATGCCTCCTCTTACTAAATCGGGGTCGGAGAACTTATTTACTTCTATCGTTTGTTCGATATCACCTATGAGGCGAGGAATTTCTCTTTTGTTTAGCCAATATCTTTACCTCTTTTATAAACTAAGGTTTACTATTTTTTTGTTCCATTTATGTTCACCTTCCTGGTTCAGAGTGCTTTTTTTGCTTTTTTGGTTATACTTGACCTAGAAGTAGTGTTTCCTTGGTCTGTTCTAATATAGCATCTTGATTGAGTCCTCTTTGATTGATTCTATCATCGATAATCCAGAATCTGGCTTGGATGAACTTCGCTACTGGTTATGACATAATCGATTGTCGAGGTGAAGTTGCATTGCACATGGAATAGTGGTATTCCAATTCTAGAATTAAAATGACCCATGGGGAACGTTTTTGATTATCTCGGGAGTCCGTGTAGCCATCTTGTACCTCCCTTTCTCTCTTCTGTTACTACACACTCACGTAATTTGTTCGTTCTCTATCGGTCTTCAGGTGATGTGGATGATATTACTGTTTACACATTGTACTTCTTCAATGTAAGCAAGAGCCTAGCGAAGTTTTTGAGCTTTCCATAGTCGTTTTTTCCTTTGTCTCGCCTAGTCGTCTTTCATGTAATCGTCTGTGTTCTGAGGCTCTATTAACAGTTCTATGGAAGCCTATAATAAAGCCAATAGGTTACGGGCCTCACTTATTAACCTTCCTACTTTATGCGGGCTTGGGATTGGCACTGGTAATCTACCCACCTCCTGCCGGAAACGAAGCATCGTCGGAAATTTTCAAAAACTAGTAAAAAAATGTATTTTAAGCCAATGGAGGCAATTTTGTGGGAGAGGCAGAGGCTTGTTGTCTTTTTTTATTTAAATTTATTATTGTGTTAATAAAGCTTTTTAATTTTTTAATGTGTTGTTTTATTGAATTGTGTAGTAGTTGTAGCCAGTTGGAATGTATAAAAAAAGTACGGGAACTTTTTGAACACTCTGTAATTATGAGTATTTGTTTTATTTGGCAACCCTTTTAAACTTTTTAAGTTGAGACGAAACATCTTTCAACTTAAAACGAACGTTCGTGACATGTTTATAGAGCCCAAAATCACGCGTCAAACTTTTCGGCTCCTCCGTTTTCATATCACCAACTTGTCGAGGAATAAACAAGTGAAAACTAGAACTTTCTTGGGTATCTTCGAGAAGTATAAAGGAATGCAATTTCAGCGATAAAGTTTCACAGAAAAAAAATAAAGCAGTTTTCTAGAGATAATCTATTTTAGTGTATTTTTCATACAAATTTCCAACACAATTTAAAAGTTTTTAATATTAATAGAAAAATGTTAGATAATTTTATTTATTGGTGTTCTAAAGTTGGTGGTACTCCAAGCTTTTAGCAGGTGTGTGCTATTATTTATTAAATTATACGGTGAAGCTTTAAAGTTCTCTGTTTTACTGTCATAAAACAAACTATACGACCTGCTATTTTGGTGACTCTCTAACCTTCGTTGCAATGTTAATGAACTTCAAAAAATCTGAATTTAAAAACTTTTCTCATACTTTTTAGATGTCACTTTTATTTTAGACCTATGCGAAGTTAGCCCCCAATTTTTGTAGCCCCCAATTAGATAGGATTTTACATGTATAGTATTTTGATTATAACAAGAGAACCAGTCAACCGATTTCGATAAACAATGTCTCATTCGAAAGCTTAATCCTTGGCCAATACGAAAGTGGAATTGCCCGATTCGAAATCTCTTTCGAATCCGCTAAAACGCCAAAATAATGCGAAGGTACACGAAAATAACACAAAAATGACCTTTTTTTAAGTGGTAATAACTCGTAAACGATATACCCGATGATCAAGATCTATACGTCATTCGATTTGTCATAGTTTCTTCTATCGAAATCACAAAATGCCAGATTTCATTTCTCTCTCGTTAACCTTATACAGCCCTCGGAATGACACCGTGTTCGGTTCGTTGTTTATGCACGTATGAACGCCCGAAAGTCTAGCCCCCAATATAAAAAAAATGATTTAAACTAAATCGACTACAACTAAAGAACGGTTTGACGGATTTTAATGTTTTATATCTCAAATGAAAGCTTGCGTCTGGCTGAATGCTGTTGTCGAAATGACCGATTCGAAATATTTAAGGATTTTGATTAAAACACAAAAAAACGAACTAATCAAACACATCAATTGTCTCCTTAACTAATTGACCAATTTTAATCATCAACATCTCGATCGGAAGTATGATCCACAATTAATGCGAAGGCGGAAATGCCCGATCTCAAAATATACTAATTACCTGCGTACAGCCATTGAAATGACCCCGCGAATCTGCCGACTGGAAGTCTAGCCCCCAATAAGAAAAAATTAATTTTAATTACATTCGCTATAACTAAAGAACGGTTTGACGGATTTTAATGTTTTATATCTCAAATGAAAGCTTACGTCTGGCTGAATGCATATGTCAAAATGCCCGATTCGAAATATTTAAGAATTTTGAATAAAACACAAAAAATTAATTAATCAAATAAGTCAATTATTTCCTTTATTATTTGATCAATTTTAGTCGTCAATATCTCCATCGAAAGTATGATCCATGGTGAATGCGAAAATGGAAATGCCCGATTTCTAAATTTGCTAATTAAGTACGTACGATTGTTTAAACGACTCCAGTGACTATTGCCTGGAAGTCTTACTTACATAAAAAATATTTTTTTGTAAACGGATTATTACTAGAGAACAACTTAATGTGAAAATGTTTGAAATATTCTACTAATCATAATAAAGTATGTAAACAAACGAACAAAGTAATAGACTGATTTAAAATATATTTGTACTAAAACAGAAAATATTTTTTTCATTTTTGGTTTTAGTATTTCTACCTTTAGTATAACTTATTGTTGTTCTTTCTAATTTTCTACTTTTCTTTTTCAAATTTTATATTTTTAGCTGTATATAGTTTCACACAAAAAGCGCCCCAACCCATAACTCTGTTGTTTATATTGAAATATAAATAAAGTTTTCAGAGGCAAGGTGCTAATTTACATTTCTTTCAATTTTTACAATTCTTTTAAAACCTTCTATTATATCCAATTTTTCTTCAACTTTTCCTTCAAATTGTATAATATATTTTTCTCTTCATTACAAAAGTTAAAATGTTTTCCGAATATTCCATAAAGAATAATGCATAAGTGACAATAAAAATAAAAAGTTGAAGAATGTGATAGACAAAATCAGTCCACTCACTGAGTCGTTTAAACAACCGTACGCATTTAATCAGCGAATTTTGAGATCGGGCATTTACATCATTGCATTCACCGTGAATCGTACTTTCGATCGAGATGATGTAGACTAAAATTGGTCAATTAATAAATGAGATAATTTACTTATTTGATTAATTAATTTTTTGTGGTTTATTCAAAATTCTTAAATATTTCGAATCGGGCATTTTGACATATACATTCAGCCAGACGTAAGCTTTCATTTGAGATATAAAACATTCACTGAGAAAAATGATATGGAAAATTGAACTAAATCAATTTAGTTGTTAGACAAATAGTCATTTATGCTAGAAAATTTATTCATTTACCTAACGTAATTTAGCTGACATATACAATTCTAATTAGGCAAATTTATGATAGTTAATTTATCTATTTACTGAGGTGATATAACTAATTTTTAGAAAAAGAAACTACATCGTGGAAACTAGTTGATAAGTCTGGTTGTTGAGTAGTTTAGTTACCTAAAGTATTTGGTATTTTTGTTTATTTTGTTCTAGTCTGAATTTCTATATACATTTAACAATGAAATATTTTACCTAAATGGACAAATGTACTATTATTAAATACTTTATTTAAATGTATTTTAGTCGTTTTGTCTACCTGTTTTCACCGTTACATCGATCGTTTATAGAAAATATTTCTTGATACAAAAATTGCTTTTTCATCATCGAAAACGATCGATAAAGCATCTGTTTTTGAGGATTCGCTACCAACTTACAGTTACAAACTTTCTTCATTATTACAGTTACAAACCTGTAAGACTGTACTCTTGTTTTGTTAGAGGGAAGTCCACTAATATTAATACGTTTTGTGGTACTCTCAGTCGTCACAAGTCGTCACAAGTCGTCATTAACGAGTTCAGGTATTCGGAGTGTTTTACGATTTGGTAAGAAATAAAATTGGATGTGCAAGTTCAAGATACTGTAACTATTTTGTTACAGCAGTGGAAATTACACGTATTAATTCCAGATTTTCAAGGCAAGTATTTAACTATATTTTCAATTATTTTGTTATATACAGTAGAGCGTCGATAATCCGGATTAATTGTGACCGGACCCTGTCCGTATTATCAAAATGTCCGGATTTTCGAAAAGAACCAAAAATAATCCACTTTTGTGGTTAAATAATTGATAAATAGATAAATAATTAATATTAATTAATTAATATTAACTTATTATAATTTCATTATATCATTATAAATTTCACAGAACGTGGGAAATCCCCGCGTTATATGGGGGAAAACACGTGTTATACAGAGACATGAAATTGCATAGTATGAAAACGCGTTATAAGAGTACCGTGTTAAATGGGGAGCAGACATGTTACTTGTAGTTGTATAAGTGTTTTAAAGGCAGCTCTGTATATGGTATGTGTTATGTTACAGCCAAAGGAATAAACATCGACGTCCTTGCAGAACTTACTACCAACGATATTGATCATTTAATTCCTGCAGAACAATTCGGTCTACGAATTAAATTTAGAAAAAAACTTTTTGTGTGGAAACAACTCAACGTAAGTTGACAGCTATAATCTATAAGTGCCATCATTATGCCACAATCTATAAGTTTATTTTCTTTAAATGCTTTTTATAGGGATTAACAACACCCCTGGCAAGTACAATTACTGCATCGAATTCATCATCATCAACAGTAAATAATTGGATAAATACTAATATAATAGATACAGATGAAAATGGTAATCCTGAAAATCAACCGATCTTTGTAAGTTGTTTTATATTCCAGTTTATTTCCTAAATCATAGATGTATTTATTTTAGAAGTTAGAAAATCTCTTATTAAAATCGGTTAGTGGTCAGTTAATTTTATCAGAATATAAAGTTAGTGGATTAAGTTCGAAAAATCGAAATATCCTTACCACGATAATCGTGGAGGATTGGTTAGCGAGTGACACATCTGTAGATCGCCAATTGTGCCAAAATGTCGCAAAGGAAATAAAAAACCTATTCCCATTAGAATGTGAGGTACGTTTCCAAATTAAAACTACCAGTACATGATTTTTTATGTTTTTAATTTCATGTGCCTTTCAGGTAACGTATTTGGGTACAAAAAACAACGGGGAAAACTAATAGAAAAATATTATTCCTTTCGAAAGAAGTATAAGCATTCACTTTCTATCGGACAGAAAAGAAAAATAGGAAACGTTACTGATGCCTCTAACGAAGCAGATATTGTTGAAGAGACGTTTGAGATAAATACATTTAGCGATTATGAATGGTTAAAAAACAACTACTCCCCAAACGATATAGTGTTTGAAAAGTGGATAAGCACGTTTAATGTTCGAAAAAAAGACGTTCGTGACAAATCAATAGATGTTTTTACAAAATGGCTTATTTTAAAACAAAACATTGCTGTAGCACTGGTAAGTTGTTTCTTAGTTGTAGCAAAATGTATAAAATCATTAAAATAACTTAATTTTCAGATTAAATTAGATTTTGAAAAATTGCATCCAAAACGAAACACACTATTATTTTCCAAGTGGACGATATTTGACACCTTTATAAAAAATATATACCATAGAGATATAAAAGATAAAAAATCTCGCACATTTTTCAATGTATTACAGTCATCTAACTTAAATGAAGGTTTGTTTTTTATTTTTTGATTTGCTTTCTTATTTATATAGACATTTTAGATTCAAAAAATTACCTCTTAATTATAAATCTGAATGCCATACTTATTCCTGCTATAATTAAAACTGAACAAGACATTTACAGACCATCAATACTAGATGGCCAAGAAAGTTTCGTCTATCATTTAAAGGTATATTTAAAATTAATTTCTTATAATTATAATTTCTTTTATAGTTTGTGTTCTTGATAATATATGTATTCTTTATAGTTTAAGAAAAATAATTGTTGATATATAGTGTAATTACTACAATATACTTGAAAATATATTTGTTATATATATAATATATGTATACTTGTTTTTTTTTATAGATATATCTTGATAAAGTATCTAGTGATACGGATATGAATAATAAACATTAATAGACATTTTAAACACAAAAAATGATCAAAAGATTTACAATATTTTGATAAACGAACTATCGTCAATATTAAATTCAACTATTTGCAGTAGTTAATATAAATATATTATTATATAATACATCAAAACAATGTTGTAATAACACCTACCAACAATGGGATATTTTGACTACAAATCGTCGATATTACAGTGAAAAATTTAGGTACGACGTCTATATTTAAGTAATAAAGCTATCTACTACCATTAATAATAAAAATAATATTAATAGTAAAAACATCTATTAATATTATATAATGAAACTAATTTNTTAAGGAGATAATTGATGTGTTTGATTAATTCGTTTTTTGTGTTTTAATCAAAATTCTTAAATACTTCGAATCGGGCATTTCGACAACTGCATTCAGCAAGGCGAAAGCTATCGATTGACATATAAAACATTAAAATCCGTCAAACCGTTCTCTCATTATAATCGATTTAGTTTAAATTAATTTTTTTATATTGGGGGCTAGACTTTCGGGCGTTCATACGTGCATAAACAACGAGCCGAACACGGTGTCATTCCATGGGCTGTACAAGGTTAACGGGAGAGAATTGACATCGGACATTTTCTGATTTCGATAGAAGAAACTATGACGAATCGAATGACGTATAGATCTTGATCATCGGGTACATCGTTTACGAGTTATCACCACTTAAAAAAGGTAATTTTTGTGTTATTATCGTGTACCTTCGCATTATTTTGGCGTTTTAGCGGAATTCGAGAGAGATTTCGAATCGGGCATTTCCACTTTCGTATTGGCCAAGGATTGAGCTTTCGAATGAGACATTGTTTACCGAAATCGGTTGACTGGTTCTCTTGTTATAATTAAAATACTATACATGTAAAATCCTATCTAATTGGGAGCTAACTTCGCATAGGTTTATTCTAGGTAAGTTGTAGTTTTCCAAACGATATATTTCCAGACAAACCACTTGTTTTACATTATTCAAAAACCAACGGAGGAAAACGAAACGATATTTTTTTAGGGCGACAATACAAAAGAAAAGGAAAAATCGTCAGTTGTTTACCGTGCGATCTATCAAAAGTGACATGCAATTTCCATACGATTTTCACTCTCCCCGTTAGTCACATGGATCGTAGACGTAGAGCACGACCACGGTTGTCGGTATGCCATTGATTTTCCGGGAGGTAGCTGCGAATGAAAAAGGCTCCATCACGATAGTGTCACCTGTTTGTGAAATATGAGAATGCATAATACGAGAGAAGCGCGAAATTTGCCCCATGCTGCCTAATGTTGTTGGAGCATTTGCCGTATGGTTCCATCTATCCTCTCTTAACCGCAACACGGTTATATTTTGTCCTTCATATGGCGGTCGTTCCGGCATAATTTATAACAGATTTGTTATCCACTCTATTCCCCAATATAAACCGCGTACACACTAATCAATAAATCACGCAATCCAATTCGTGTATACAGCTGTTCGTGCTATTTTTACGTCTTTACCCACTTTGTAGCTATAAAAATGGAAAACAGATCTGATAACAACACAATTTTTTGATTAATACATTTTCCATTATGTAACGGTAGATTTTAACGAGCAAGTAAATTAAGACATGGATTATTTGGTTCGCGTGTTTTGGTTAGATTCCATTAAGAGTGACTTGCATAAAGTATTCAGAAAATCGACCAGAAACGTCGTTTGTGATCAAATGGAAAGACTGAACACGCAATGTTGTCCGACACAATTTTTCCGAAAATAATTTAACGTTTACTTTTTTTATTAAAAAATAAGAAGAAAAAAGGCGATGTAATAAGATAATATGTGGTGAAGAAAAATTGCCTAACCCAGTGATTACATCACGTGGTTTGCTGCATAAGACGGTAAGATTCGTTCCATAAATCATATGAGCGAAAGGCGCATTAAATCTCGTGCCGACCTCGTGCTCGCAATAATCAATGTTTCTGCATGAAAAATGATGATATATATGCGAAGTATAAGTCTCGAAATGGTCTGCACTCGCATGGAATTTATAAATCAATTTTTAAAATTTCTAGTTATACGAACTTTAAAATAATTTATTGTATTAAACTAACAAGAGATGTAAAGATAAATATTATTTGAAAAGATAATTTATATAACTTAACTTTCCTTATTGAAACTTAAAGACATTTAAGCTATTTGTAATAAAAAAGTTGGGCAGACGCGAAAACAAAGATTTGAGATGAATTTGCGTTGTTTCCAAACTCACGCTTATTTACTTCGGTCGCGATCGTACCGAAGTTGTGGGTGGCAAATACGGCTTGATTTATCGGTAAACTTCAAAGTTGTCGCCTCACAGTAGAGTGCCTCTACACGTAACTTCAGCCAATTTGCGCTACTAACTCAACAAATCGAAACGATTGAACCTTTCGTATATAAAGTTCGAAAGCCGTGTGATGTAAACAGTGTAAAAGAGATTTTCCTTTCTTTTTTTTAATGTATCTTTTAAATAACACTTTTAACTAAAACTTTTTTATATATTTCTCATAAAACCAAAATTAATCAATGGTAATCGATTAAACTTTTGAAGTAAAAGTTGATTTGGGATAACAAGAAAGAGTAATTTAAAAGAATTTTTTACGTTGTATTGATAAAACCTTCTAGAAGGAAATTCAAAATAAGTGTTGGATAATTGCGGAGTGGTTGAAAGTTTACAGAAAAACGAAAAGTAAAAGTTAAAATGCTTGGTTGGACCAACCCGAAGAGTTGTTAAAGTGGTACTTTAGTAAATCCATTTAATGTCAAATAAATTAAGACGAAAAGTTCGCGTGTTTTCCGGCTTAGAGCCGTTTTGCGGGGAAACCGATGGAGAGAAACTGCTTAGTAACTATGCCATGTTTTTAAAGCGCTAACAAACAGTACTTTGTCATTGATGGTGGCAGGTAATTTGAACACTCTTTACCTCGTATCGCGTGGCAACACGTACCCTATTTGTGAAACTATTACTTCCGGGGCATTTAATGCATGTTTTTCGCACGATATCGTCAACGTTTATTACAATTTTTTTGCAAACTGACATGAATCCACCAGCAACTAAATATAGATATTAAACTTTCACTTGCAATCTCCACTTTTTTTAAATACTTAATAAACCATTAATTTTAAAAAAATATTCAGATTGTGTTTATGAACTGATTCCAATTTCAAGTAACAAAGTTATGATAAACTTTTCTGTTTGTTACAAAACCCCATCGAATTTTTTTGTAGAAATCTCTAAAAAGGCGATTCTACGTATTTCCTTGATAAATTCAGACTCTCCATTTGGTTGACTAAAAACCAATATAAACTCCGCGAATATGAAAACCTTAAACAACCAGATCATATTAACGGAAATACAGGAAACAAAGTGGGTAGGGAAGGAATTAAAGACACACATACTATTTCTTAGTGGCAAGGAAAGAGGATATAGAGAAGTTGGTGTAGCGTTCATAGCAGACTCTTTGTCTCATTCCTTGAATTCTTCTACCGATTAGTCGGTTAGGCAGTTTCTTGTCTTCCATTCTAATCACATGATCAACCTATCTGGAAACCTTGGAGTCTGATGAACTCTGATAATGGCTATTCTGATACAAATCATGGTTGTATCTGGATCTCCACATATTATTTTGTTGCACTCGCCCTATTATTCTCCTTAATATCTTCTTTTCAAAAATATTTGAATCGGTCGTTTCAAAAACAGCATCAGCAAAACCACTAAAACGCAATTTTATAAGAGAAACAAAAAACTAGATAATTAAATAAAATGGATAAATCAAGCACCCAAACTATTTTAAGTTGATGTGACAACATGGTTTTAATATAAATAATATACAAAATAGTTATAACAATAATGTTTGTACACGTAATCATATTCATTATCATCTTCTATATCGTCTCCTGATATCTTCTCCGCATGATTTCTTGATAAAATGGCTTATATTCGCTATGGATACGCCTTTTCTGTCGGTGGTAATGCAATGACGTGATTTGATTTATTTCTTAATAAACTGATGTGCTATAACAACTCCACACCAAAGTCCTGGTCGTTTGGTAAAAAAGAACTGCAAAGTAATGCTTAATTTTACGAAAACGTTGGTTGTCTGTTAATGCCATTAAAAACCTTATGACACTATGGTTTTTGTTCTGTCCAGGGCAGTTATCGTAGAACAAAAATAATTCCTGTATATTTCCTGCCAAAAAATTGTCGATGTAGTGCAGCAACATTGAACAGATTTCATTATTTCTCTTGTTTGCTACATCTTCATGAAATACAGACTTATTCCTTTTCAAATTTTTTACACCGAAACAGTTACACCAAAGCTGCTGCAAATAAAATATTTCTTGAATTGGGATGTGTGGAATTTTCGTATTTCTGAAATCTTGTTGTGGAACTTCTTCGCTCTCCTTTTGTGTACAGTTAACTCGGCTTCAGCGACCCTTTTAGCATGGTCGCCTAATTGTGGACTTTTTATTTTGACAGTTAGCTCTTCACTTGTAATACAAATATCATCTTGAAGTCTACCAAACCGTAGCGAAAAATTGTCTTTGAAATATTGGGTATAAAATTGATATTTCACGTTTAGGTTTGGATATTTGGATTTAAATAGCAAAAACATTCTTTTTATATCTAATCTTGCATCAAGATATTGAATATTTCGCCCAGAATAATGCGTTTGCTTTCTTGGAAAAGATAAAATGTGGTCGTGGATTTTTTTAGCACTTTGGAAGGCG